TTGTTGAGAAGCAGCAAGAAAGGAGGAGGAGAAGACAAGAATCTGATTGGAAAATTTAATTTTCATTCTAGTTGCCTCAGACTGCATTAACTTTCTCTCAAAAGATGACTCTAAGGGTCATAGTTTGTCTATAAAGAATAAACCTAAGAAATTAAAATCATTGATAAAAAAAGCCAACAGGAGTAGCTAACTCAGTTTATCCCAACAGAGTTAATTAAGGTTCCGCATAGTGTTCTGTTTTTACAAGCCATCTTTTCTTCTACAGGTAGTCCTTGACTTACAACCATTTATTTAACGGTGGTTCAAAGTTACAACAGCACTGAAAAAGCTGACTTTCAACAGTCCTTGCTCTTACGGCCGTTGAAGCATCTCCATGCTCAAGTGATCAGAATTTGGACTTTTGGCAACTGGCATGTATTTACAGCAGCTGCAGTGTCCTGGGTTCATGTAATCATCATTTGCAGCCGTCCCAGCTGGCTTCCAACAAGCAAGTTAATGGGGGAAGCTGGATTACTTAACAATCATGTGATTCACTTAACAACTGCAGTGATTTGCTTAACTGTGACTGCTGCATCACCCCAGTAGTCATGTAATCACATTTTGGGTGATGGTAGCTGAGTCACATTTATGACCGATTGCAGTATCCTGTGGTCATGCGATGACGTATTGCAATATTTGATGCCATTTCCAGCAAAAAAAAATCCCATTGGATTAGCCGGATATGATTTATGACCATGAGATTTGCTTATAGAGCACTTGATTCACTAATGACTGAGTGAGTCACTTAACCAGCATTATAAAAGTTATAAACTCAAGTTTGGTCACATGGTTGCTCAACTTACGACTGCAGTGATTTACAACCAAAATTCTGGACTCAATTGTGGTCATAAATCAAGGACTTTCTATAAATGTTTTAAGACTTGTAACTTAATGCACATATTTGTGTCTCATTCTATAAAAAACACTAACACCTCAGGCCATAAAATGCACCTCTGTTCCTTGCTGGCTTTGTGTAATTATTATTCTGTCAGCATTACTTGGAGATAAAGAAAAGAAAGACTTGAGGAAAGTTTGGCCTCCTAAAGTAGAAAGTTTGCTTTCTACGACTGCTTGATTTGGTTCTCCTCATGAGGTTTTGCTCCATAATATCATGCAATTGTCTTAAAGATAGTTAGTTAACATTACGATTTTTTGATTTTTGGAATCCATATTTCAAAATTGGAAAAAAGTCACATGGGGCATTGAATCCCATCCCCTATTCAGTGCAGAATCCAAATTAAAACATCCCAGGTAGCTATCTATCCTTAGCTTAAAATTTATCCAACAAACAATGGCTTAGCTCTTCTTTGCATAATTGATTTCGTTATTGAGCTGTGCTTACCTTTAGATTATCTGTGACTGGAATTTTTTTTTATGAGACCAACCAGATTCCATCTTAGATTTGGAATTAGTTGAAGGAGCTGCTACCACTGAAGCCATATTATGACTTTTCATACTGTTTAAGTGATTTTGGTTTAATTACTATCCCATCTAGAATACATATTCAGTATGCTGAGAATTGTAAACTAAAATACTTGAAAGATGCCAGTATTTCATTTAGCTTGCTGCTGTTAGAACAGGGGTGTCAAATTGCCGGCCCGTGGGCCAGACGCATCACACAGAAGCCATGCCCACCCCTTTGCTGGCAATGGCAAAACTGTCCTGATACATTATGCAATGCCACATGATCTCGCGAGTTTGATATGTCTGTGTTAGGAAACCCATGCTTTCTTTCTTCGCACTTAGGTAATGTACCCAGCTGCCTTGAAGCCTTTCTTTCTTTGATCTCAATGCTCTCTACTCAGGGTAGGAGCTAGCTGGTAATTGAGCCAGTTGTCAGTTTAAAATTACTTTTCTTCTAGTCTGTTCTGATTTAGCTTCTTCTGGAGGAGCTTGTTGGCTGAACCTTGAACTAGAACACTCCTGTTAGAGATGATGAATCCTCAACAGTTGTGAAAGTCTTGAGAAAATTCCACTGAGCTATAAAAGCAGAGGTGCTGAGTAGCTTTAGAGATTATCTTTTAATATTTTATTAAATAATAGTAATAATATATTACATTTATATGCTATCTGATTCCCAATGAGTATTTTTATAATACAAATATATTATTATAAAATGTATATCTTGTATATAAAATTATATTTAAAACATTGCTTACCAAATTTAATGCACCTATCTAATTTAGTAACAAGTCAATTTAAATGTAAAATAACAAATATGGTCAATTTACATGCAAAATATTAAAAGAAAGCATTTCTTATAATTTTGAAAAGGAAATAGAGTTAATCCATCCTTCCATCCATATGGCAAGGAATATAAGCTTGTGAGCAGCAACCAGTAAAAACAGAACCCGGAATAACAGAGTTGGAAGGGCCTTGGAACTCTTGTAGTCCAAGCCCCTGCTCAAGCAGGAGACCCTATACCAAGGGTAGGCAACCTTGGCTCTTTTATGACTCATGGACTTCAACTCCCAGAATTCCTGAGCCAGCATAGTTGAAGTCTATGAATCATAAAAAAGCCAAGATTGCCTTCCTCTGCCCTATATCATTCTGGAAAATGTTTGTCCAATCTCTTCTTGAAAACCTCCAGTGATGGAGCACCCTCAGTTTTTGGAGACAAGCTGTTCCACTGGTTAATTGTTTTCACTGTCAGGAAACATCCCCTTTATTCTAGATTGGGTCTCTTTGATAATCTTCTACCTATTACTTCTTGTCCTGCTCTCAAGTGCTTTGGAGAATAGGTCAACCCTCTTCTCTCTGACAGCCCCTCAAGCATTGGAAGATTGCTATCATGTCACCATATCCAACTTTTTGGATAAAGTATTACCCTATTTTTTAAAGGCTCAGAACTATAACTGAGAATATACCTACAGTTGATTATGTTTTTATTCTCAGATGAGTCAGATAATAGCTGGAGATCAGGAATGCTTTTGCACACAGTATCACTTGTTCACCATTTCAATGTCATGTCACCAGTAGTTGTTCTCTTCGTTAGATTAGACCAGGGGTAGGCAACCTTGGCTCTTTTATGACTCATGGACTTCAACTCTCAGAATTCATGAGCCAGCATGGCTCAGCTTGGAAACCTCTTCCTTTCCCCTCAGCATGGCTGGCTCAGAAATTCTGGGAGTTGGTCCATAAGTCATAAAAGAGCCAAGGCTGCCTAGACTAGACCTATCTTGTTCCTGCAGCCATTCATCATACAGTTTGGCTTTCATACTCCTTATCCTTGTTGCTTTTCTCTGCACTCTTTCTAAAATCTCATCATCTTTTTTGTATTGTAGTAACTAGAACTGGATCCAGTACTTCAAGTGTGGGCTTGCTTACTAAAGCAGTACTATTATTTCACGTGATCTTGATACTATCTCTCTGTTGATGCAGCCTAGGACTGCATTGGCTTTTTTGGAGCTGCAGCACACTGCTGGTTCCTATTTAAGTGGTTGTCCAATAGGACACCGAGATGCTTCTCACAGTCACTACTGTTGAGCTAGATACCACCCGTTTTATACTGTGCATTTGGCTTAGTGTAAGACCTTTTCTCACCATTGAATTGCATTTTGTTAAATGTTAAAATCCTTCTTCATGTGAGCATCTCTTCTATTCTCCGAGCTCTACAAATTTGATGACTTCCTCCCCTATCCCCTTATCTAAATCATTTTTGAAGGTGTTAAAGAATACTGGGCTTAAGACAGAACCTTGTGGTACCCCACTGCATGCTTTCCTTTATGTAGATGTAGTTCCATTAAGAACTACACGTTCAGTGTGGTTGATCAGCCAATTGCTAATCCAACTGGTGATTATACTGTCTATCATTTTTCTATCTTACTAAGAAGCAGACTGTGGTCTTCTTTGTCAAATGCTTATTGAAGTCTAAGTAAACCACTTCCTCAGTATTTCCCTGATCCACTAATTTAATCATTTTGTCAAAAAAAGCAATAAGGTTTGCCTGGCATGATCAGTTTTTAAAATCCATGTTGACTTCTAGTAATAGCTTTGTTTGTTTCTAGCTGCTTGCAAATCTGTTGCTTGATAATCTTTTCCAGGATTTTCCAGGTATTGATGTCAGGTCAATTGGTTTGTACTTTTCCAGATCCATTTTTTCCCCTTTTTGATGATTGGAACCACATCAGCTTTTTCTAGTGCCCCAACAGCTTTGAAAGATTTTGTTCAGTGGTTTCACGATCACGTCTGCCAGCTCTTTCAGAATTCTGGGATGTGATCCATCTAGTCCTGGCAATTTGAACTTGTCTAGAGTGGACAGATGTTCTCTCACCATTTTCTTGCCTATTTTGATTTGTATTCCTGTTCTGTCTTCTATGGTACTGTTTTTGATAAGTTGGCCTCTTTTTCCCTTTTGTGTAAAGACGGATGCAAATAATAAATTAAACAATTCCACTTTCTCCCTGTTACTCATCACCCCCTTTCCATCTTCTCCCATTAGTGGCTGATAGTTTCTTTGACATTTTTCTTGTTTTTCACATGTTGAAAGTAACTTTTAAAATTATTTTTGACATTTTTTCAAATGCCAATTGTGTTTGGTTTAAAGATGATTTCTAAACCTGAAAAGATTGTAGGATCTTGCCTGTTTCATTTGGCAACATCCTAATTATACAGCTCTGAATTTTGAAATCTATAGAACAGTTAGTTTTGAATAATATTGTCATTTAAAGTGCAGGAGGGGGTACCAAATATTTTTTTTATATTTTAGCCTTAATGTAGAATTAAGGTACTGTTAGATTCAGTTGCTTAGAAATGAATTTTTCCCAAGGTTCAGAAACAGAGCTCTTGATGATAGGAAGAGGGAATCTAATTGAAATAGTAAAATCCGTGGCTTAGGCAGATATTCTAACTATATCAAAATAATATTACAAAGTAGTAATAAGAAGCCTGTATTTTATTTTTTATATATTTACGGAAGATATCAAATGGAATGGTGTATATAATATCCAATTATTTCCTAGGAGAGAGCTATGAGGATGCAGAAGAGAATGCCTCTTTGGATGCTGATGAAGTGACTACTGAAGAGCCATGCCCAGTACAGATAGTTCTTGCTCATGAAGATGACCATAACTTTGAACTGGATGAATCAGCATTGGAGAGAATCTTGCTTCAGGAGCATATAAGAGACCTCAACATAGTAGTAGTTTCTGTTGCTGGTGCATTCCGTAAAGGCAAATCGTTTCTCTTGGATTTCATGCTTAGGTATATGTATAACAAGGTGCGTAGCTGAACTACTCTGAGAATAATTAACAAAAATGTATTCCTCTTAAGATTTGTTTTATTGTGTTCCAAATTGTGTTAGGATTTCATATTTCTAAACATTATTGAGGGAATTTGAGGTATATATAATTAACATAGCTAATTAATGTTAATATTAATTAACATTATATTTGGTAACCTTATAATAGAACTAAAAAGCGAAACAGTATACATATGCCAGGAACTATTTGTAACTACCGCATTTTCAGAAAAATAAGACCTACCCTGAAAATAAGCCCTATTTAAGAGCCTACGCAGCTGTCCAGCCGCCCATCCCGTCTGGTTGCTACTCGTGAGGTGAGGTGGGAAGGAGCTGCCCCATGCTCCCCGCACCTGCTTAATTTGCCACAGGGCACCTGCAGCCAGGCTTCCCATGCCCCAATACCTGTTGTATCTTGCAATGGCTGCACCAACAGCCCCATAAAGGAGCCTGGCTGCCACTCCACTTCTGCGGCCTCTTGCTGCTGCTTGTGTCCATCATCCCTGGCCTCCATTTCACTGGCAGATGCTTTCAGGAAAGGCCTCTGGAGCCCAGAATGGAGCTCCGGGAGGATGTGCGCATCATCCCCACCATCTCTGTTTCACCGGCAGAGGTGATTATTTGAACTTACAACAGTTCTGAACGAGAGGCTTGAGTTGTGCTTGTGTTTATGTCAATTGTAGTGACCCTGTGGTCATATGATCTCCATTCACAAGCTTTTTTGTTGGTTTCCTATCAGCAAAGTCAATGGGAAAGCAGGCAGGATGTTGTAAATGCAAAGATGCAACTATGTGAATCCTTAATTATCTGCTATGATTTGCTTAACAGTGGCAACTGGGAGGGCTGGAATTTCTGTTGTTAAATTGTAGGGCCACATGACATCGTGTTTTACAGCCATATTACTTAAGGCAGAAACTCAATCCCAATTACCGTTGTTAACAGAAATCAAGGATAATAAAAAAAGTTTCTTCCAACATATTAACAACAAGAAAAAAGTCAAGGAAACTGTAGGTCCACTAAAGAGAGAAGATGGCAAGGAAATAACAGGCAAAAGGGAGAAAACAGAGCTGCTTAACTGCAAAAGACATACTAGAAACAAAAATTAAAATAAGCAAGAAAATGATAAGAGAACACCTATCCGACCTTGACAAATATAAATCACCGGGATCCAACAGATTACATTGCAGAGTTCTGAAAGAGCTGGCAGAAGTTATCTCAGAACCATTGCACCACATCTTTCATAAATCCTGGAGAACTGGGGGAAGAATCTGAGGATTGGAAAAGGTCTGATGTGGTTCCCATCTTCAAGAAAGGAAAAAAAAAACGACCCAGGAAGCTACATACCAATCAGTTTAACATCAGTACTGCAGGCCACTTTAGCTGACTGTGTTCAGCAGGTCAGTGGTTCAAATCTCACCGGCTCAAGGTTGACTCAGCCTTCCATCCTTCCGAGGTAGGTAAAATGAGGACCCAGATTGTTGGGGGCAATGTAAATATATATATACATTGCTTACTGGTGTACGCCGCTTAGAGAGTGCTTGCACTTAAAGTGGTATATAAGCCTCATAAATAAATAAATAAATAATAAACAGATCTGCAAACAACTACAAGCAAACAAAGTCATAAACAGTAGCCAGCACGGGTTTGTTAAAAACAGATCGTGCCAAACCAATCTTATTTCATTCTTTGATAAAGTGACTAAACTAGTAGACCAGCAAAATATTGTGAACATAGTATATTTAGATTTCAATAAGGCATTTGATAAAGTAGACCACAACCTAACTCCTTGGTAAGCTAGAAAAAGGTGGAATAGACAACATCACCATCAGATGGATCTGTAGCTGGCTGGCAAACTGTACTCAATGAGTAGTCCTCAATGGCACTACATCCACATGAAGAGAAGTAAGCAGTGGGGTACCACAAGGCTCCGTCTTAGGCCCAGTACTCTTCAATATCTTCCTCAGTGACTTAGATGAGGGAATTGAAGGGGAACTTGTCAAATTTGCAGATGACACCAAACTGACAGGAGTAGCCAAGACAAACTCAGGATCCAAAAAGATTTAGACAAACTTGAACAATTGGCCCTATCCAACAAAATGAGTTTCAATGTGGACAAAAGCAAAGTTTTACATTTAGAAAAATCAAAGGTAAAGTACAGATTGGGCGAGACCTGGTTTAAAAACTAACTGTGAGAGAGACCTTGAAGTCCTAAGGGATGATCACTTGACTATAAGCTAGCAATGTGTAGCAGCAACCAAAAAGGCTAATACAATCCTGGGTTGTATAAACAGAGGAATAGAATCAAGATCACGTGAAGTTTTATAAAACCCTAGTAAGACCACACCTAGAATACTGCAACCAATTTTGTTCACCATACGACAAAAAAGATGTTGAGAGTTTGGAAAAGGTTCAGAGAAGAGCAACTAAGATGATCAAAGCCCTGGAGACTAAAACATACGAAGAACGGCTGCAGGACTTGGGTTTGACTAGTCTAAAGAAAGAAGAAATAGGGGAGACGTGATAGCAGTATTCCAGTATCTGAGGGGCTGCCACAAGGAAGAGGGGGTGCTTTGTTCACCAGAGCACCAGAGGGAAAGATGAGAAACAATGGTTGGAAGCTGATCAAAGAGAGAAGCAACCTGGAATTAAGGAGAAACTTCCTGACAGTGAGTACAATCAACCAATGGAACAGCTTACCTCCAGAAATCATGGGTGTTCCATCACTGGAGATTTTTAAGAAGAGACTAGACAATCACCTGTCTGAGATGGTGTAGGTTCTCCTGCTTGAGCAGGGGGCTGGACCAGAAGACCTCCAAGGTCCCTTCCAGCTCTATTCTATTCTCTATATGATTGCCATGTGTGACTTTCCCTGCTGGCTTCCCACAAGTAAAGTCAACAGGGAAGTTGGCAGGCAAGGTTGCAATTATACCTATAAATTGCTGTCACCATGTTTTCTCTCAAGGAGCCCCACTATGGAGTATAAGATCCCATGGATCTCATTCTCTTTAACAACTGGCAATAGCTAGCAACAGCTGCTGACCCAGCCGAACTTGGAAGTGCTGTTCATGGCCTCCACTGGCCCATAGCCTCAGAAGCTGGCCCTCCCACAGTCCATACTGATGTTCATGAGCCATAGAACCTGCCCATGGTACCCGCATGCATTCTGTAGTGCCAAACTGTACGGCCACACTTAATGACAGCAAAGTCCTGGGTTTGCAACGCTGCCATTGCTAAGTGATGCAGCATGACATTGCGCTTTAATTTGCACCAATTAACAACAGAATTTAGATCCCCATTGCCATTGTAACACAAGGACTACTTGTTAGTAATGACTCAGGTTTTTCATATTAGTCAAAATTAAGCATACAATATTAATGCATGATTGCCTTGGGCCTTCCACATTATTAAATATATACGTATATGTGTGTGTTCTGTTATAGGAGTCATCTTCTTGGATAGGTGGAAGTAGTGAACCTTTGACTGGCTTTACGTGGAGAGGAGGGTGTGAGAGAGAAACAACTGGCATTCAGATTTGGAGTGAAGTATTCATAATTCCCAAACCTGATGGGACAAAGGTAATCCGTTAAGCATCTGACATAATGCTTATTGAATTACTGAACAGAGCAAGCAAAAAATGAATGCAAAATATTTTGATCCCTCTTCCTGATATGAGTTGATGTGATGTTTTAGATACCTCTGAAACAGATTGTCAGGATTCTCCAGGCATGGAATTTCATGGACTCAGCATGGCTAGATTGCAAACAGAAATAAGTTTTCCATACATGTACAATCTACCTCCTGCTGTTTGAACTTGGCTGTTCTTTTCCTAGTTATAGCAACAGCAATACTTTTTACATAATGGCCTGAGAATCATTGACTCATCAGTTTCAGCCTTACTGTATACTTGTTTAGTGTTGTAACTAATTGTAATGTTAAGAATGTATAATATTATATGCAGTATAATAGATGGAATTGAACTTTTGAAAATACCCAGTAACATTTACTCTCAGAATGATTTGTTTTTAACTCACTTTTATTATTTTTGTACATAACCCAAGGCAGCAAATATGCTCCTTCCTCCTTCTATTTTCCTTACAACAACCCTGTGAAGTAGGTTTGGTTAAGAGAGAGTGACTGACCCAGTTGGCTTTCACGCCTAAAGTGAAACTAGAGCTCACATTCTTCTGGTTCTGTCCTGCTGCCTTAATCATTAGATAAAGCTGTGTGGTCCATCTTCCCTTCAGAGAAATATATACAGATATACATATGTTAAATTATGCCATACTTCTGTATGCAAGGTTTGACATTATTTCCATCCATCCATAGGAGGAATTTTTTTCTCTTTTTATATAATGTATATCCTATGTGGTATTTTCAGTTACACTGACCACCTAGAGGTAATCAAACCACCTTTGATTAGTTTCCTAGTGAGATGTTATTCTGTGGTGCTCAGAGTCTCAACCGGGAACTGATAATACCTAATAAGGATTAAAGCAGTGGTTCTCAACCTTTTTAATGCTGCGACCCCCCAACTGGTCGTAAGTCGAGGACTACTCAACCGGTCGTAAGTCGAGGACTACTCAACTGGTGCAGCACCGTTTGCAGAATGGGACTTTTGGCGGGCTCAGCAGGGCAGAGACAGCCTGGACAATTCCTATTGGCTTTTGAAAGCACAGCTAAGGAAAAGGGGGAAAAAATGGCAGACTGCATTGTTTGGCGACCCCCGTGAAATGGTCATTCGACCCCAAATGGGGTCCCGACCCACAGGTTGAGAACCACTGGATTAAAGCAATCCAGTACTGCCTCTTGGTAATCTATATAGCTAGTAATATTTACTAGCATAAACATGCTTCTTATACCCAACCACACCATAGAGCATTATGCACATTTTCACTTGTGAGGTTTTTTGCTTCATATTCAAAAAAATGAATACTGAGCTATTTGGTCACTTTTTAAACTTTTGACTGTTAATTAAAGTGGTTGTGAAAGTAAATGTACATTTTCTAGTGACTGAATGGAGGGAATCAAAATATAGTGAAACACTGCTGATATCACACCTGCATTGAACTCAAGCTTTCAAATTTAAAGTGAAAGAATTGTTTTCATTCTTTTTTTCTTTAAAAAAAACCTCTGTAGGTTGCTGTATTACTAATGGATACCCAAGGTGCTTTTGATAGTCAATCAACTATCAAAGACTGTGCAACAGTATTTGCTTTAAGCACCATGACAAGTTCAGTCCAGGTAAGTCTGTAGTCATATCAGATGGTGGTAGACTTTAAATATTTTCCTTATTTCAAAATACATATGTCACCTGAAAACATAATAGTAAAACCATTTATTGCTTTCTTGTTTTATGTTATTTTGATTATGATAGCATAGAAATATGTTTAATATATAAATCATGTATTATAGAAAGAACCATTATGCTTAATCTTTCGGTTGCATTATAGCTTTCATACACTTAGAACATTAAGCTTCAAATATAATAATCTGAAGTATGATACAGATTTTAAAAGTTCTTTGTTTAGCTTTAAAAGCCAATGCAGTGTAGAAGTGGATGATCTTAATTAAAATGTGGAAAACCAGGATACAAATATCCATTCAGTCCATATTTTTAATTTCAGTCTAATATAATTTATATATTTAAAATGATAAAATAGAGTCTGAAGTTTAAATAGTTAATGAATGAGTGGTTAGTAAATGATAATCACCTGGACAGGTTTTTCTGGAATGGAATCTATTTTGGAATTTAATAAGTCTCTCTGCACAGGTGCATAGGCAGATGATCCTCACTTAAATGACCACTCATTCAACAACCATATGGACTTACAACAACAATGAATGAGTGGTACTTAAGACTGGTCCCTTAAGTTGCATCAGTTGCCGTGTCGTACAGTCACATTTGCAATCTTCCTGTCAGCTTCCCATAAGAAAGTCAGCAGGCAAGCTGGCAGGAAGTCCTCACTTAATGACCTTTGGTAATTCACTTAGTGATGATAACCGGAGACTGGCAGAATTGCCATCACTAAGTGGCACATTCACATGACATTGCACTTTAGGGTCACATCACTTTAGTGACAGAAATGCTGGTCTCAAATATCATTATTACTATACTCCAGCTTGGAATCAATTTATCCCTAATAATATATTGATTATTTTAATTTATCAATAAGTTATCAATACATTAATAATATATTGATTATTTATTGATTATTAATAGTATATTGATTAATTTCTCTTTAATAATATATTGATTATTTGAGCGAAGCCTGACTCCTAGTGATTGTATGTATAGATGCCCTTCATCTTCAATATCCCTAGTGACAGTTCACAACTATTTCAGGGACTTTGGAAGCACAGTCATTTTTTCTACTAAAGTGGATCAATACTCAATTGTAGGCTCTTCATAATAACTACACTGTGTGCTTTCTCCAGATTTCAAGACCTTGGGCAGTATGTGAAAGTTATTAGTTCACTCCAATCTGAAATGTTCACTATTGTCAATAAAATCCATATATATTTATTGCTGCTGATAGGATATTAAAATGTTCAAGAAGAAAAATGATGTTCTTTACCAGGTTCTCTGGTAATAAAATGAGATACAGTTAGCAAACTAATTTAAAATAAAACCCTGGCTTGCTACTTCTGGGTATTTAAATGTTTTTAAATTGAGCATCTTTACTAGTGACATCCAATGTTAATTACAAGTTCTAGTCTAAATGTCTTCTTCTGTTTTATTTTGCTGGGATTTTCTGATTGCTACGGTTGACCAGAAAATTCTGTGATCATAAGCATTCAGCTTTAATTATGTTTACGGTAGTTCTCACTTAACACCCCTAATTGGGACTAGCAATTCCACTGCTAAGTTAAGTAGTGGCTAACATGGGAAATCCTGTGACCGTTTTCCCATTGGAAAAAGACAAAACTAGGCAATTTCACTCCTTCAGTTTTTGTTTGTCTCCTAACCACTCTCTTGCTCTTTAGAATGCTGGAGTGCCTGCTTACTGTCTATTACAGATTAAAAGCAATGTGATTATGACAGTAGACTCGGACTGGGAGTTACGAGCATGCTATGCAAGCAAGTTACAGCAATCTTGTGAAATCTCTTCTCCAGTCTCTCCATTCTACTCTACCAGGGAGAGGAGGGGAGGGAAAGTAAAACAAGAGATTTCTGTAAGAAATCTCTCCTTTTCCAGACCCTTCACCTCCTCTCACAGAGAGATTGAAGAGAGAACATTTTATTTAAGAAAAGTGTTATTAACTTTCAGTTCCAATTAGACATTGAGGGAACTCTCCACCTAAGATGCTGTTTAGTTTGGTTGGCAAACTTTTAAAAATCTAAAAGCAAATCACCTAATAAGTTTAATTAGGGTTTGGGTCGTATGGTTGTTGACACTGGGGAATGGAGTGGCTATTTATGGGCTTTTATATTGTGAATTTTTAATATCGTAGCTGCCCAGATTCAATATATGTGAATTGGACAGCCATATAAATTTGTTTAATAAATAAATAAATGTGAAAACTATTATGTTTTATAGGTATACAATCTATCACAGAACATCCAAGAAGATGATCTTCAGCATTTGCAAGTAAATATATTCTGATTCTATAGTAACTCCCATTACTAGTATTTGAATAAGCTCTTTGCACATGAAATGTGTCAAGGCTCAATTTTGAAAGGTTCCCTATTAAGGGGACTCTTTAGGGAATGCAGGAAGTTGATAGAAGTAAGATGATGGGGCTAAATCCTCTTTAAAAACTTAATGTACATGATTTTTAATTACTGTTACTTGAAATGCACTTACAACCTTTTTCATCTATGATTATGCATTTATATATATTAAGATTTGTAGTCTGTATTTGCTAAATTGTTTTCCTAATTTTATCCTATAAAATTAGGAAAATAATTTTATAGATATAGAATTTATAATTACTATGCCACTGAAACTTTTAACTATACTTGAGAGCCATTTGCTCCTTATTTTCACTGGGGTCATTAATACTCTTTCAACATTATTGATTATTATCAATATTATTCTATTGTTGAGATTCTTGAATTCAGAATGTAAGAAAGTATTTGGTTATTACTTATTTAGATTAATAATCAATTAATAACCAAATTGGTTTATTTAGATTTCTAAAATGGTTTTGTGCAGCTATCTAACTTGATAAGTACACCACTTATTCATGAGTAAATGTTCATTACTGTGATATATATATCTTTGTCTTTTATGTATACATTCTTAATTTTGTTTAATAGCTTTTTACAGAGTATGGAAGGTTAGCAATGGAAGAAATTTACCAAAAGCCATTTCAGGTAATAGTATGATTATGATTGCTGTTTCCATGTTTGTTTATCTCAGGGAAGTTTCATATACTACAATAATAGTTGTAAAATGTAATTGCATCATCTGCCCTGTATGTGGCATATATACATAATTTTTAATTACTACCAATTTTTAAGAGTCCATAGTTTCATATTCATGTAATAATAGATTTTCAAGTGTTGTAAATGTTAGTTCATTTCAACCGCAGTAGAAGGGCTACAATAGAATGGTATGCTTTATGAAATGGCAGGTATTTCTAGGTGAACAGGAAGTCCATGTATGCTTAAGCAAACTGGTGACGATGGGAGGTTTAGTGTACATAATTTGCTATTCTGACCAAGAGAGGGAGGGATGGAGGGACAGAAAGAGAGAAAGAAATCTTTGCCAGTTTGCTGCTTTGTAGAAGTCATCTTTCCACTTCAGCAGATTGGCTAATAGTTTACACTTCTATTTTGTTTGAGGAGAAAGAGGTGGTTGTATTTTAATTCTTATACTTAACTGCAGGCTAATAATTTTTATGCAGGTTTTTTTCACGATTTAGCTTGCTACAAAACCCTTTTTGTAGGGTTTATTGTAAAATAATATTTTAGGAATGTGCATGAAATGGCTGGTTTCAGGTAGCCTATATCTTAACATTTATGAAAGAGATTGTTTTGGTTCAGGGTTGGATGATCCATAGAAAAAAACCAAGGACATTAATAGTTGAGGAAAGATAGAAAATTGGACAAGGAGGGAGTGTAGTGGGATACATTAGGCTAGGACACGGGCGTCATGTGATGTATAGTGATGTATCATGATTTTTTTGCCTTTGTGGAGCTGGGGTGGGTGTGGTCTGCACGTGATGCATCCGGTCAGTTTGACATCAGCAATGGTGATAGAGGGAGGGAGGAGGAAAAGTGCTGGGAAGATCAGGTGGTCTGGTAGGGTATGATGGCCCCATCGGCCTCAGCAGAAGGGGGAGAGGGAAGGAAAAAGGTTGGAAAGATGAGAGCTAGGAAGCTGGTGGGATATGCTTTAGTTGCCTCATCTGGATTCTGTTTGTTTGAAACCCAGAATAACCAAAATATTCTAGAATTTGGTTCTGGTAAGTTATGTCGGATCAGAAATAGTTCAGCATAACTTTTAGAATGTGACGGTTTTCTTCCAGGGTAATGATTTTACTCACATTCTACAGCAGAGGTTCTCAACCTGTGGGTCGGGACCCCATTTCGGGTCGAACAACCATTTCACGGGGGTCGCCAAACAACGCAGTCGGCCATTTTTTTTCCCTTTTCCTTAGCTGTGCTACTCCCTTTTATTCTATTGGCTTTTGAATTGTTCAGGCTGTCTCTGTCCTGCTGAGTCCGCCAAAAGTCCCATTCTGCAAACAGTGCTGCACCAGTTGAGTAGTCCTCGACTTACGACCGGTTGGGGGTCGCGGCATTAAAAAGGTTGAGAACCACTGTTCTACAGGATAGATATTTTCAGAAGAAGCTGAGGTAGCTTGAGTTTAGAGTATTCCTTGTTAATTCTGGTTTTATATTAATAACATGTAGAGGTTAAAAACATGCTTGTTGAATTATGGATAGTAAAGTTTTTATAATGATGTTTTAAGTGGTGTGGTGTTCTGTTTGCCAATAAATAAGGTTAACTCATATTTTTGCATTTCTATATAGACTCTTATGTTCCTAATTAGAGACTGGAGCTATCCATACGAACATGCATATGGTTTAAAAGGAGGAAAACAATTTCTAGAAAAGCGATTGCAGGTAATTCATTATCAGTAATAGTTGATTTTTGTTTAAGGGGAGCTGAGCTAACTGGAACATGCAAATACTTATTTTTGTATTAGATTAGTTCTGATTTGCTGCAGAAGAATTTCATCTTCTAAAAATGTATGTTGCTTCTAGGTGAAATTGCACCAGCATGAAGAGCTTCAGAATGTAAGGAAGCACATTCACTCATGTTTCAGTAACCTAGGCTGTTTCCTGTTGCCGCACCCTGGTCTTAAAGTTGCAACTAACCCAAGTTTTGATGGGAGACTAAATGGTAGGAGATTTTCTGTTTTATATAGCTAACTAGGAGGTGTTACTGACTCAAATGTTCTTTAAATGATTGCATTAAAAGCAATCTATATAGCATATAGATGAATATTGATGGGATAATTTAGATGGTTGTTGGAGGAGTATCAGCAGCATATTAGTTTTGTTTAAATTCTTTGATTAAGAACTGTACACAGTTTTCAGCAGAAATGCTATACCACATGGAGAAGTGAAATATCTCTTGTCAAACCTCTAAAGCAGCCATATCTTTTGCAAGACTTACAATAGCCACTTTGGAAGTTGCTCCTAGGCTGCCTCTGCAAGCTGCTTTGCTTTATTGGGAAGAAAGTGAAACAAAGTGGTTATGCATTTACAAGCAGGAGTAATAGATGTGCCAATACTGCAAGCTTGGTTCCTCTAATAATGAAAAGATAAATCCTTTGTTTGGCTTGTACAACGTTCTTTCAACTGGCTTTGAACAGCTCTATTAAGAATACAGTTATATAATAAAAATGCATATGATACAAATTAATACGACAGTTTTGATATTGATTGATTAATGTTTCTGATTGAATACTGAAATTGATGTTGCCTACCAAGTTATAGAGTAGGCATCCTATCAAATTTCAATGTTATTTTAAAATAATTATAACTTAGCTGAGATTGGATAATAATCATGATTTCCTGCTGTGAAAATGAATTGTAGTTCCAAATTGTCTCTTCTCCCCTTCAACCTTTTTGAACAATTCACTACACTGTCTACTGCAAAATAAGTTGGAATCTGAAGCCTGTTTAGATTCAGTATGTTTAAACAAAAAGAAGCAAAAGTTTCCCATATCTTTTTTATGGCACCAAAAGATAGTTGTGAGAGGCCAAAAAATATGAAAACCAGTTTTCCATTTCATCTGAATTAGGCTTTGGATTTGAGAAGTGACTAAACTAGAAGTGTATAAACCAGTGGTAGTGAACCTACGGCACGGGTGCCAGATGTGGTACTCAGAGCCCTCTCTATGGGCACGCGCGCCATCGCCCCAGTCCTAGGCCTTCAGCTGGGTTTTATAAAACCTTTTTGCTTTAGGCCTCCACCGCCGTGTACAAAAAAAAAAAGGTTCAATCAATCAGTCAATTTCAACTTCTTGCTGGAAAAAAAAAGATCTTGCAAAGTTGGAATTGATTGATTGAACTTTTTAGTCCCTCCCAGTCTGCTGTTACCACCGCAGCCACACCCACCCAATGGGCCACACCCACCCGGCACCCAACAATGCATAAGTTGGTTTTGGGTTGCAGTTTGGGCATTCGGTCTCTAAAAGGTTCGCCATCACTGGTATAAACACTGTCTGCAGTCACAAAATGGCCTCTTAATAAAAGAAAACTTCAGTAAAGTGATGACCACCTTTCCTTATTGCATAATTTTTAGGTTTGCATTTTTATAATAATTTTATGAATTAATACAATCTCAACTTACATATATTTTAAACAAAATTTATACAAACACACACATTGCTCTGTTCTCTTTTGTGTTAAAGTCATGTGATACAAAGTACAAAAATAGAGTAAGAAATACTAAGCCAGATAAATTAGAATTTTGAGATAAAATATCTAAATGTACATTATAATACTATTCATGATATCTTTCCATACCTTCCTACCTTAGCTTTCACCATGATTTATACCCCTTTATATCTTTATATAAAGTTCTTTAAACTTTACATCTTTCTTTTTGAATATCTCATCTTATCATCTCATCAAAATCTCATGATTCCAATCCTTCTCTCAGTTTTCCTTTTCCTATTGATGCATTCAATGTTCTTTCATAGAATTGGATCCTGATTTAGTTTCTATAATACAACGATCTATATTTAATATTTTCATCCTGGATGTTCAGTTAGTATTCAGTCCTAATTCATTCATCCTTGAACCTTTCTCTTTTCGTTTTATTACATATATTTCTGAAGGGTATTATTCCTACTGCATTTAACTTTTGTGTTTTTCCTGACATGCCCAACATTCACTTCCATAAAACAAGGTAGACAGAAGTATATTCTTATACATAATTGTTAAATTCATTAAATTTTTTATAATTTTTGCTTTTTTGGCTAACATTCATTGCCTTTTTTGCCAATATTTACACATCTTACATATCATTTTCTATATATTTTCTGATTATTGATAAGCATCCTATGAAAATATGCAGATATATCTACTTAATGAACTTTATGCATAACTTGCATTCACTCATTCCATTATTTCTCTCAAACACAGCCACCTTTGTTTGTGATCTATTTATTTTCAGATTCATATGCTTCATTTGCTCCATTTGCTGCAGATTATTTGGGTTATCAGCAAACAGCATGGCATCTTTTCCAGACCAAAGTGCATTCATTGTCTTATTCTCTGTAAAAGACTTCTAGCCACTACAAACATTGCATAAACATTTATCCATAGATATGTTAAAAAATCCAGGTGATTTCATACATCCTTATTTCATGCTACATAGGTTAGCTAGTTAAGTACTCAGTGCATTCTCAGGCATGTTTCCACCACATTCCACTAATCACATTTACCAACCAACATCCAACACTATAAAAATACAAAGCGTTTTGTAGTATGAGACTACTTGCTTTATTGTACAACCTTTTTAAATCAACAAATAAATAAAATACCTGGAGTGCACGTCCCAATTTCTGTTCGGCTTACTTTTTTACACATGATTTGTACTTTCTTTTTCTTCAGGCATTCTACTTTTTGTGTTACTTTCTGAATATAAAAGATACTACATACCATAAATATTTATGGGTAAGCCAAGAAGTTTAGGTATGAAAACACATCCCCAAAATTGGATTTGGCTTATCCATTAATGAGCTTAGCTGCGAATATGTACAGTACCACTTTTTAAAGTACCCATGTATCCCATATATACTTTTGTATAAGTCATCCATGGATAAGCCAGCCCTATAATTTTTAACCAAAACAGTATGAAAAATGTTTCATCCTTGGGTAAGCCAATTGTGAAAATTGAAACATGAACTTTGTGCTCTCTTGAGCTTGGTTATTTTCTTGTAAACATTTCATTATCCAAACTAGGTAACATCAGTGCTAGTAAGGAGCTTACTCTGCAAGAAAACAACCAAGCTCAAAGAGCACCAAGAACCTCTCATTTCAGTCTTGAGCCACAAATATTCTTCTTTACTGAAACATGAACATTATGAGGCTCAGTTTATCTGTGGGTGGCACATTTTTCTTGGTATTTTGGTTAAAAATTCAAGAATTGGCTTATCCACAGATCAGCTTATCTTGAGTTTATAGAATATATACAGAGTGTCTTCTGATGATATTTTTTTTAAATAAAGAGTACATTGTATATTAATTCTTTATGAAGAGTTAATGTTTCATAAATTAGCAATCCACATTTGACTAAGATTTTATGCTTTGGGGATGTTTTTAACAAAGATAGGATAGTTCCATTAATATTACTTCTTGATGATTTTGAAAAGAAAAGATTTTTGCATTAATTGAATAAAATTTCTTACACCATTTTTATTAATTCCACCAGATATTGATGAAGAGTTTAAGAAAGAGTTGCGGAGTCTGATTCCTTTGCTACTTGCTCCTGAAAATTTGGTAGAAAAAGAAATTAGTGGCTCAAAAGTGACTTGTAAAGATCTTGTGCAATATTTTAAGGTACAATCATTATTCCATGCTTTAAATAAATTTATTTTCTTGTAAATTTTTAATCATGAAAGGATTAGATATGGTGTAGTATTCCATTATTCACATACTATGGTTAATATATTCAAAGCCAAGCCTTTCTGAATGCACTGTATATTCACAAAGGTACACTCTACTAGAGCAAAGAATCAAAGAAATGGGTCAACAAGAAAAAAAAAGAAATGGGTCAACAAAAAACAATAGACAACTATCCATATATAGTGCATTGAGAAAGTATTCAAACCCCCTTCACTTTTGTCAATTTTGTTATGCTACAGCCTGATTCTACAGTTGTTGAAATTCATTTTTTCTCATTAATCTACACTCAGTACCCCATAATGACAAAGTGAAAACAGAATTGTAGAAATGTCTGTAAATTTATTAAAAAGGAAAAAAGTGAAATATCACATTGGCATAAGTATTCAGCCCCTTAGCTCAGATGCCTCCCATTTCTCTTAATTATTGTAGACATGTTTCTATACCTTGATTGGAGTTGACCTATGGTAAATTCACTTTGTAACATGACAATGATCCTAAGCACACAACCAAGACAACACAGGAGTGGCTTAGGGACAATTCTGTGAATGTCCTAGAGTGGCCCAGCAACAGACTTGTCCTGAACTCTATTGAACATCTCTGAAGGGACCTCACAATGGCTGTCAATCAACGGTCGCCACCCAACCTTATTAAACTTGAGAGGCTTTGCAAAGAAGAATGGCAGAAAAAAACCCAATCCAGGGATGCAAAGCTTGTCATGTCATATCCAAAAAGACTCAAGGTTATAATTGCTGCCAAAGGTGCTTCAACAAAGTACTGAGTGAAGGGTCTGAATACGTATGCCAATGTGATATTTCAGTTTTTTCTTTTTAATAAATTTACAGACATTTCTAAAATTCTGTTTTCACTTTATCATTATGGGGTACTTAGTGTAAATTAATGAGAAAAAAATGAATTTCAACAACTGTAGAATCAGGCTGCAGCATAACAAAATTGACAAAAGTGAAGGGGATCTGAATGCTTTCTGAATGCATTGTATATTGTTCTAGGATAATCTATAATGTACTTCAAATATTATCAATACTGTCTTTGTTGCAGCATTTGTCCCAAGGTTAGGCAATAATAACAATTATCAATCAATTTTTATTACAGTCACAGACCAACATTAGTAATAACAGTTATATGCAGTCATCCAAAAGAGGCAAATTTGGGGTGTTAACTGCTTTGAGTTTGTGTATGAGAAACTTTACTATTTAATAGAAACTCTTTCAAGCAGCATACTAAGTATAGTAACATTATGAGAAGCAACTTTAATAAATCATAATTTTCTTGTATTCCTGCTATATTGTATATGTTCAGTTTATGTTGACCATTATTAATAGCACATTAAATTCTTGATTTGTTTAAAATAACATTGGTGGACTACTTCATCCAGTCACTTTCATTTAATTACATTTGAATTTAAATGTAAATTTAATAGATTTAATTTTTATTTGTAAAAATATTGTTTTTAAGTCAAAATTAGATTGTAAAACAGTTATTTTATTTTCAGGCTTATATTAAAATCTATCAAGGAGAGGAATTACCTCATCCTAAATCAATGCTGCAGGTAAAGTTTTATATATAACTATTTATGGAAGCATATAATGTGAAACAATTTGTTCATGGCATATCAAGGCAAGCTAGAGACATTTGAAATCTTATTAAAGAACAGGGGATCAGTAGGCTTCAATTTGATATTTCAGAGTTGACTGTAGAGTTTATTATGCCTTTCACGTGGCACTAATCCACATTTGATTACAGTTTTTACTCTAAGCTTCAAATTGTAGGATCATTTAGTTGTTTGCCATTGAATTCTAGCTGCTTCTGGCATACTTGCAAATTTAAAGGAATGGCTGGATTTTTCACTAATTAATCTAGGCTCTCGACAGAAATCTTTTCCAGTCTGCATTCATGCATTTTTAACTGAGATACAAAATATTGAAGAAAGAGTAAATAGATGCAAATATTGAGCTTTGACTACCAGGACAAACATTGAAAATGTAATTTACAAGATGGTTTTCTTTGTGAAATACCATCAAGTACATTGAGATTAGAGATAGACAAAAGATAGATAAGGATCTTTATTTTGATAGCTAGTAGTAGATAATGAAGGATCTCTGGTCACCAAATTCTATAATATCAACATATCTCTCATTAACAGCAATGCAAATAACTCTTAGGTGTAAATGGCTTCATGAATAATTTTGAATCTGTCCCTAGTCTTCAGTAGTTTATTAAAAAGGAATGGAGATCTTGCAAGCTTGAAGTCTATCTTTCTCTTCCTTTCAAGCAGTCTTCCTGTAAGGACCCACCTCAGCTAAGCCATCCAAGAAAGCCGAACTTGAAACAGGCATTGTCTCAAAAGGAACTTTTATTAGGGGCTAGTGACAGCAGGGAATCAAGGCGAGGTCTGAGAAAAAAACCTGTGAAGCAGTATATTAAAAGCAACATTCAATACTCCTCCCCCTCAGTATCCCAGTGTTCAATTGAATCCCAGCCAATTCACCAGTTTTGGTAACTGGTCTTTTAGTCAGGCTCCTCAAGGTCTTTCTCACTTTTAATTTCTTCTGGCTTCAAGGGCAAACTGACACTCATAAGGGAAAGACGTTCCATCCCCTGGGGGAAGGGCATCATAGCAGACAGTGCAAAGCAATTCCAAAGCTCCCCCCTCCCAATAGAATGGCAGGTCACAAAGAAAGGCTACAGAAGTAGAAAATAGGCATGGGGTTAAAATACATTTTTTTGGGGACCTGACATTTCCCCAGTTGTGGGGGGGTAGGAGTTGTAGTTTAATATATCTAGAACCAAAGTTTGATAAAAGCTCCTTTTTAATTGAAAAAATATTGGCATTCTAACTTACAAAATTACTTATAAACTTATTAAGTGATTATTTATAAATCTGAGATTGCAAAGTGGCTACCAGAATTCAGTGTAAAACTATACGACATAAAATTTCTAAATATGTTTGCATTTTGAAAGGATGTATGAAAACTGTTACAGAAACTCATTCAAACTGTCAAAAGTGGGGTTTTTTTGTTAATATTATTAGCATTATTACTACCTTTTGTATTATTACTATCACTACTTTTATTACTACTGCTATTATTACTATAGGCAACAGCAGAAGCCAACAACCTTGCTGCAGTAGCTGGTGCAAAAGATACTTACAACAAAGAAATGGAACAGGTAGAATATTTATATGAATTTATTTGAAGTTATAGGCTTAGCCTAATCCAGTCTTTCTCTGCTGGAGTTCTGCAAAAACCCAGAGTTCTGTGAAAGATTGCTAGTTCAACAAAAGATTGTGATTAATTTTTTTTTTATTACTTCATGTATTGTGCAGTACTTGCCCTCTTGGTAAGAATTTTAACATGCTGTGACCCAGCTACTTGGCTGCTGCTTTACTGTTGTAAATGTTGTAAAGTGTTTTAGGTTAAAAGAGAATTATGTGGAGAAGTTTTCACATTTTTTTCCTATTTTTATGCAGGGATTCCCTGAAGCCTGAAAATTACTTCAAGGGTTCCTTCAGATTATAAAGGTTGAGAAAGGCTGGTCTAATCTAGGATATGGTAGAGAAATAGGACTGTTCTGGAAAATATTATGAAATCAGCACTATAAACTGGATTATTAACTATTTTGTAAAGAACGCAGAGCAGTATAGTTTGGGTTCACAAATTCATTTAAGCCATAAAATAATGTGTTTTGTTTTGGCTTAAATGTTTTGTGTGTTACCAGTCATATTCTCATTGAGGTCACAAGTGTATTTTTGGCATTTTAGGGTCAGATCTTGATTTGTTTTGGTTTGTATAAAGAAGCAAGCATATTTTTTAAAAAAAATATTTGAATTTGTTATAACCACCCATTCTGATATACTCAGGATGACTTACGGAATCTCAAAACAATAAAAATAGTTACAAGCATACAACATAGACACCTAGACTCAAACAGCTATTATAATAAAACAGGGCCCCCAAAACACATTAAGCCCAGGCTTGAGACTTCAGGATTTTTTGGAAATCCAGGAGAGAAGGCCCTGTCTGTATCTCTGGGGAGTGGAATGCTGTTCCAGAAGGTGGTGCCATGACAGAGAAGGAAGCTTCCTCTGTCCCATAAAATTAAATGGAAGGCATCTACAGTGTACTCTCTGTGCTAGAATGTATAGGCCAGGCCGAAATAATTGGAGATATATGGTCCCTCAGGTATCTAAATCTTATGACCAGAAAGAGCTTTAGAGATAACTGCAGCATTTTGAATGGCACCAGGAATCTAACTGGCAACCAGTGCAGCTGTTGGTCAGCTCCTGGGAGCTGGATCTAATAAACAAGTGCCTCAACTAACAGACAGGAGGATCATACCCATTTCCTCAGGGGTCCAAACTGAACTCAGATAACATTACAAGATTGCCTAGGAAACTAATTTACTTGCCCAGTTGGAGTCCAACTCTGAATTTGACTGACTTTATCTACCAGATAACAGGACTGTTGTTCATTGTGGCCCTGCAGATGATCCTGCATCTCAGCCCCTTCCCCATCATTCCAAAGAGGGTCATTGGGTCACTATTAGCAGACCCAGTAAGGGCAGAGAATAACATTTTGCCATCCTTATTACCACAGTGTAGGCCCAAATATGGGCTCTTGCTGATGTTCAAATTCAGTTTTTAAACCAAAAAAATTTGTTATAACCAGACCATGGCTGGAGTTAAAGAAAATGAAAAATGCCTCTTAACAGTGTTATTAGAGAAAAGTGCAACCGTATGTTTTATCTATAGTTAATGACTATAACTGTATCAGCCCCTCAGATAACTTTCTCAGTTCATGCAGTTCTGATGGGTCTGGATTGGCTATTTTGTTGATATTACAGATCTATGAAATAAAATGTGCCTTTATTTTACAATGCATCCAATTGATTTAACCACCAACAGCTGTTTTTTAAAGTGCTCTCTGAATTTTCAAGCAATTATACTATAAGGGCAGTAAAGGAAAGCTTCGCTCCTTTATTATTTTTATTTATTATATTTCTATCTCCTTAAGAACCTCATGATGGCTCACCTGGCTTTTCACCTGCAGTTTATCTGGGCTATGAAAATGGCTGCAGATAGTCCTTGACTTACAAACATTCATTTAGTGACTGTTCAAAGTTATAACAGCACTGGAAAAAGTGACTTATGACTGTTTTTCACACTTACAACCGGTGCAGCATCCCCATGGTCACATGATCAAAATTCTGATGCTTGGCAACTGATTCATATTTATGACTGTTGCAGTGTCCTGGGATCATATGATCACACTTTGTGACCTTCTGACAAGCAAAGTGAATGGGGAAGTCAGATTCACTTAACAACCATGTTACTAACTTTACAACTGCAGTGATTCATTTAACAATTATGGCAGGAAAGATTGTACAATGAGGCAAAACTCACTTAACAAATGTCTCACTTAGAAACAGAAATTTTGGCTTATTTGTGGTGGTATTTCGAAGAATGCCTGTACGTTGAGAGATACTGATTGGCCCGTGATTCTGTACATGATTAAGGATTTGACCTTGGATCTCCACAGTCTTAGTCCAACATATTTAGTGGTAGTTAATATTTTTAGCAGGACTGTAATTGTAGAACTGTTCTAGATTCTGTAAGTTAATAGGTCAATTCATCCCATCAGGTTTGTGGTGGAGATAAGCCTTACATAGCACCTGCAGACTTAGAACAAAAGCACCAAGATCTTAAAGGATTGGCAATCAAACATTTCCGTTCTGTGAAAAAGATGGGAGGTGAGGAGTTCTGTCGTCGTTACCAGGATCAGCTTGAAGAGGAGCTTGATGAAATCTATGCAAACTTTGTGAAGCACAATGATGGCAAAAACCTCTTCTATGCTGCTCGTACACCAGCGACTCTATTTGTTGTCATGTTTGCTATGTATATAATCTCAGGACTGACTGGATTCCTTGGCATGAACTCCATAGCAACCCTGTGTAACCTTGTGATGGTCATAATACTTGTCTCCCTTTGTACATGGGCATATGTTAAATACTCTGGGGAATGCAGAGAAATTGGAACACTCATTGACCAGATGGCGGAAGTACTATGGGAACAGGTTGGTATCCATTTATCTACTCACCTGAAAAAACAGAGTTTAATTGTTAGTAGGCAAGCATTGGTATAAAAGCCTATTCAATATGAATGTATGCCAAAGATAGAATGCAAACCAAGAGAAAAAAACCTTATAAAAGTAACAGTTGAAATCAATTTAGAATATCATTCTTGGTACCTAATCATGTGCCAAGACTAAGAAAACCTGAAGAAAAGAGATTCATGTATGTTAGTATAAAGAATGGAATTTCTGGAAGTGGACATTTGAAAGTCCATAATTGTGAATCCTTATCTAGTTATAGATCATGGTGTACAATGCCCTCCCTATCTAGTTGGCAAGACTAGATATTGCAAGTCTTAAGATTTGAGAAAGTCATCAAAAATCATCTGCTGTTCAGTAGGTCTGAGAAGTGAGGGAGGGCAAATCTATCACAAAACAGCTGAGAGAGAAGAAAGAATGGTTAGATGCAGTAGTTGTTTTTTGTCTTTATAAAAGCTTCTTTTTGCATCTGCAGTAGAGTCCTTTCTTGAATTATACATTGTTATGCTAATAGATGCATGTTTGTCTTTCTCCAGTACAGGAGATGGAGAATCCACCAATGGGTTTTCTTTGCCTGCTCTTGAGACCAAGTAGTCAAACTTGACACGCCCCCCTCTTGCTAGGAGATCCAGTCTTGACTTGGTCTCAAGCTCTTGAAGACGTATCAGGTTTGGCTCTCTCAACAGATAGCAAGTTAGAAATCCATTGGTGAATTCTCCTTTCCCTATAGTATCCTCAAAAATTAACTAAATAATAAATTTGGAATCCTCCCTTAATTTTTCCCCACAGCGCTGGGCTCAGTGCTAACTCAAATTGCACGATTTGAGGAGTGAGGGGTGGGGGGAGGTCTCTGTAGCTTTCCTTTCTTTCCCTTTCCCCAGGGCTCTGGGGAAAACTTCTGAGCAGGGGCTGCTTGGAATATATCCCTCATTCTCCCCCCCTTTCCTTTGAGCTACCAGGTGGAATTTCAGACTGCAGATCTGAGATTCAACTTTGAATTCAGGGCCTCCGGAGTCATCTCTGGCAGCCGAGGACAGTTGCGGATGCCATTTTGATTGCCACCAAAGGCAACGAATTTAAACTCAGCCTCGTCTTTGCCTGCCATTCGGAAGCAGTCTTGCTGAGCGCATTTTCGGCGCAGCATTTAGCGCTGCCATCACAATCGCCCCCAGCACCAGAACTTTTGCCTTTGAGGCCTGCGGAGGCCGTTCTCAGCGGAGAACAAATTGTGGCCGCCATTTTGGGGCTGCCGCCAAAGGCAAAAAGTTGTGAACGGCCTTCTTCAGCGTCCTAACCGTTCTGTCCTCCATCGGTGGCTCAGTTTGTTCAGCCCTTTAGGAATTTGATTCCCCGCTTAGGCTGCACACCTCTGGGCACAAATAAGCTACGGCGACTCCCGGCGGCCGCCATCTTGAACGCCATGTGGGAGCTTTTTTAGGCCCCATGAGGCCTACTCACAGTAGTTGGCCTGACCCAGGCCACATTTGAGATGTGTGTTTCCTTTATCGAAAATCACTTACTACAATACAACCACAAATTGTTTAGCCGCCATTTTGAGCCTGATCCTTCCTTGCCAGGCCTTTTTCTCAGGCCCTCTGTGCCCTTCATTGGGGCTTTTTCTGGTGCACCTTGGCTGGCCACCTAAGGCCTCCGGGTGGAGCCCAGAGCGGGTCCCCAACTGTGCCTTCGGCATCTGACTCAATTGCCGTGACCAAAGCCCAGATAGATTGTTTTCTGGTCAGGTGGTCAGGGGAGCATATTTTTGAAACGGTGGCAGCCCAACATCATGTTCCGTGTCTCTCTATTTTTCTTAAAGGGATCAAAAAACAATGGGCCTCCCCTTCCTCCTTCCCTTCTGTAAGTGGGACTGACAAAAAGATTTTTAGCACCTCCACAGACCTCACTGATGCCCTGGAGGTCCCCAAGGTAGAAGAAGCCTGAATCCCTCTGGTATCCCAGACTACGGTCACGGGGGACATGTCGGAGGCGCTTAAAGCGGACGACAGAAAATGGGACCAAACTTTCCGGAAGACCCATCAATCAGCAGTATGGGCAATTAAAACGGCCACTTGTGTGTCCTTCTTTGTCCGGACCACCCTTTTATGGCTTCGTCAGCTTCAGGCCAGAGTCCCTGCTGAGGACATTCGGACCCACCAGGACCTAAGCAAAATGGTGGCGGTCACTGAGTATGCTGCGGATGCAACGCTTCAGTCGGCCAACTTTGCTTCTAGGTCTCTAGCATCCAGCATTACAGCCAGAAGGATGCTATGGCTGAAACATTGGCAGGCTGACGCCAAAGTGAAATGGCGTCTTGCGACTGCTCCCTATCTGGGCAATAATCTTTTTGGGGAGGCCCTGGCCCCGTACCTTGTGGAAAACAAGGACAAGCGAAAGGTCATGGCTCACTTGAATAAACAGTCCTTCAAACATCCCGCTCCCTATTTCCGTAGGCAGTCCTTTCAGCCGGCAGCAGGTCCAGCAGTTACTCAGCCCTCCCGCTCATACACACCCAGACAGGACAGACTGTATGACCATCCATATGACAGGCCGGGCTTTCAGCCCAGGCAGCAGAGCCAATCTAAGTGGCCATTTCAAGGGGCAGGACGCCCCTACAGGAGGTCCAAGTGACTCTTACACTGCACTTCCCATTGGGGGAAGGCTGGCCCACTTCTTCCATCAGTGGGAACTCACTTCCACAGACACCTGGGTCTTACAAACCATCCAGTTTGGTCTGTCCCTGGAGTTTCTAGCCAGTCCCCCCGACTGCTTCATTACCTGTCCCATCTCTCGGGATCCACTCAAACAGGGACTTATGCAGGAGGCCATTCAACATCTTCTGGAGATTCACGCCATAGAACCGTTACCGCCAGACCACGGGAGGGGGATTCTACTCCATCCTTTTCGTGGTCCCCAAGACCTTGGGGAGATGGAGAGTGATTCTAGACCTCAAGGGTCTGAACTATTACATCACTTACAAGAAGTTCAAGATGCAATCACTCCAGTCCATCCTGGGAGGCATCAGACAAGGAGACTTCCTGGTGTCAATAGACCTCACGGAAGCATATCTCTACATCCCCATCCATCCAGCTCACCGGTGGTTCCTCAGGTTCTGTTACAGGGGCAGTCATTTCCAGTACAAGACCCTTCCCTTTGGCCTCTCCTCGGCACACAGGGTGCTCACCAAGATCCTGGCTGTACTAGCTGCCCACTTGAGGAAGGTACCAGTACGCGTCCAGTGTTACCTGAACGACATCTTGATCCAAGCGTCCTCCTTCCGGGCAGCCCAGTCGAATCTGGAACTTACTATTCAAGTCCTCCAACAGCATGGGTTCTCGGTCAACTTCCAAAAAAGCCAGACGGTTCCCTCATTCAGGCTTCTGCACCTGGGAGCCGTCATAGACACCACAAACTGCATGGTCTATCTCTCCCAGGAACGGTTGGTCAGCATCAGGGAACTGGCTCATCGGGTGTACAGGGACCGCACCATTCCACTGGTCTTACTCTCCCAGCTTCTGGGAAAGATGGTCTCCTGCATAGCCATAGTCCTCTGGGCCAGACTCCACTTGCGGGACCTTCAATGGTTCCTCCTACCATTCCAGCAAGTGAATGCCAATGCATCCAACCGTCAGGTCAGGCTCCTAGTCCACACCCTCAGGTCTCTCTACGCTGGTGGTTCTCACAAGCAGTGACCAAGGGGTCACCTTTCAAGGAGCCGGACCGCATCACCATTATGACGGACGCCAGTCTATTCAGTTGGGGAGCCCATCTACAGTCTCAGTTTGCGCAGGGCCGTTGGTCCCGCACAGACTTGAGACACAACATCAATTGGCTAGAGCTCAGAGCCATCCATTTAGCTCTTCACCAATTCAGACACTGGATCAGGGGCCATCACGTATTGATCCTCACAGACAATGTGGCATCCAAGGCCCACGTCAACCGACGAGGGCACCAGGTCCAGGTCCCTCATGTCCGAGGCACGGCTACTAGTCCAACCTGGCTCTCTCAGGGCTGAACACATCTCGGGGGTCAAGAACCAGCAGGCAGACTTTCTGAGTCGCTCTACGGTGGACCCCTCGGAATGGGGGTTATATCCGGATCTGTTTTCCGAGATCTCCCATAGGTTCGGCTATCCGATCCTTGACCTGTTTGCGTCATCGAACAATGCCCAACTCCCCAGGTACTTCTCCCGCTATCTTCCAGGGGTGGAAGGAATGGACGACCTGCGGACTCTGTGGCCACAAGGTCTCCTTTATGCCTTCCCTCACCTCCCACTCATCCTGGTGACCATCCTCAAACTACCGTATTTTCCGGCGTATAAGACGACTTTCTAAACCCTGAAAATCTTCTCAAAAGTCGGGGGTCGTCTTATATGCCCAGTCGTCTTATACACCGGAATATACGGTACTCCAAGAGCAGACAGAAGTGATCCTCATGGCCCTGTACTGGCCACAGAGGAAAAAAAATTGCCATTGGTGTAGAAGGCGACAACTGGATGACTACAAATTGACCATCCCTCAGGTCGTAGATTGTCTTCTGGACGGCCTGGACAGAGGCCTGGCCCCTGTGACCATTCGTAGGCAGGTGGCGGGCTTGTCAACGTTGCTCACTTGTGCGGATTCAGTTCCTTTAGCTCATCATCCTAGAATACGCACCTTCATCAAGGGTGCGTGCAACACCAGGCCTCCCGTGGTACACAGGTACCCCTCTTGGGAGCTGCCTCGTGTGCTTCGCGCTCTAACAAAACTGCCCTTTGAGCCCATTGCTACTATTCCATTGCGGGCCTTGTCTCTTAAGGTTGCATTCTTAATCGCCATCACATCAGCCAGACATATCTCCGAGCCGGCTGCTCTCTCGGCCAGGAATGACCTTTGCATCTTCCACCGAGACCGGATGGTCCTTCGGTTGGATCCCGCTTTCGTGCCTAAGGTCAGCTCGCTTTTACATAGGGCACAGGAAGTCATTTTACCAAATTTTTGTCCCAATTCTTCCCATGACTTGGAGCGGCAGTGGCACACACTGGACATCCGCAGGGCCCTGCGGTGTTACATCAAGCGCACGGAGCCTTTTCGCAGATCTGAGGCCCTCTTTATTTCCTTCTGTCCAGCTTCTCTGGGACAGAAGGTGTCCACTGGCACTATAGGCAGGTGGATCAGGGCCTGTATTGTGGAGGCGTACCAGTCTTCTTCCCTGCCGGCTCCAAGTTATCTTACAGCTCATTTCACTTGCAAAGCTGCAACATCTGCGGCATGGGCCACTCAGGCGTCCATCGAGGAGATTTGCAGGGCTGCGACATGGTCCTCGCCCTCACCATTCGTAAGCCATTACAGGATTGACCTCTTTGCTTCCGCGGATGCCTCCTTTGGTCGGAGGGTCCTTCAGCAGGTGGTCTCCGGGGACATTGTTCCGGCCTTATCTGTTTCCCACCCATCGGGACAGTGAGGCTTTGGTATGTCCCATTGGTGGATTCTTCATCACAGGGGCGTTGTCTTACCTGAACGCCTTTTCTCAGTACAGAAATGGAGAATCCACACCCACCCTTTAGGTCAGTTAGGCCGTTATTAGAGGATTGAGGATTGAGAGCCAACACCTCGTCCACCTTCAGTCACTTTCACCCTGGTCAAGACTGGATCTCCTAGCAAGAGGGGGCATGTCAAGTTTGGCTATTTGGTCTCAAGAGCAGGCAGACAGAGAAAACCCATTGGTGGATTCTCCATCTCGGTACTGAGAAAACACGTTCAGGTAAGACAACGCCCCTTCTAGAGAAAGAAATTTATTGCTATGGTCAACTTGACGCTCTGAAGTGAAATGGAAGGAAAATTAATGTAGATATAGAAGGATCAGGCATCAGGGTAGAAACGAAAGATTCAATTCTAGTCCAATTTTAACTTCTTTACAAATTTTGAAATTATTGATTAACTTTTCTGCTTCTGTTCAAGAAATAATGTATTCATTATAGTCCATCCAAACAGTATCTATATATTTGTGTCATGGATAAAGAATATTCAGAAGAACACACAAAGTCCATGAAGTCATGATAAATTGAGCAGAATTTTGATCTTATCTTTTATAGTGAAACCAGGGACTTGATTGTGGCATTGCGGAGACAGAATTATATTCTAGATCAGCCCTGGAATAGTTATTCCATTAATTTTGCATTATTTTTAGAAATTTGTTAACCTGTTTAAGAACCAGCCTGCAAAATTGTTGTATTAAGTTTCAAAAAGGAAATTTATTCTTCTATAGTGTCAAACACACATATACACTAGGGCCTGGGCTATTAACTCTAAATCATCTTGTGTATTTTTCTTTCTTTTTTGCTTCAGAGGAGTCCCAAGAAGGTGAGAAAAATCAATGGAGGCTGCTCACATATATCTTTTCTGGTTTCTGCCAATTGCTTTTCTAATAACCTGCTTCATATTTTAGGTGTGTTCCAAACTCTTTGAAGTTGTTAGACGTCGAATGCTTCGCCATGCTCTTGCCTCAGCACAACGGCAGCGACTCTCATCCAACAATAACAGGAAGAAAAATTAGCCAGTATTTTTACCTTTTTCTTTATCTAAAGCATTCACAATTCGTAAGCAGGACTGTGCTGGGGCAATTTACATAAATGCTATAAGCATACCAGGCTGATGCTGCATTATAGGGTATGAAACTGCACCTGCTATTCTAGGAGCTATAAAGTTACATGGATTGTCAACTACCCAACGGAGGAAACCATTTATTGCTCTGTAAATTATTAACTGTAAGCTGGTAGCAAAACTCATTTTTTCTCTTGCTTTGGTACTTTTGCACTTTGGATACATTTCATACTCCATGATTTTAATTTGTGGTTGTTTTGCATCTGAGTTGCTTTTAGTTAATTTATTTTTACACATTTCTTGTACTGCAGGTTATAAAACCTCTTGGGGACAATTTGATTGAGGATACCATGAGACAATCCGTTACAAACTCTATCAAAGCAGGCCTGACTGAACAGATGTCTCAGCATGCCAGATTAAAAACAAACTGAGAGCTCACCTCATCTCATCTGCCTGTCCATCCTAGACTTGCTTGCTGTACAACAAGAACTCAATAAACCAAAGTTTACATTTGACTATAAAGCAGTAGTTTAGTCTGCTTGGATTCCTAATTTACTGCCATCATATTGTGGGAAGATAATGGTTGGGGGTACAAGAAAAGAAACTGAACTGTTTTAAAGAGCTTATCTTTGATTTGCTCCCACAATGTCATGGAAAGGGAAGATCTTAACCACGGTTCTTTGTACCAGGGTCTGATTTATGGCATTGTTTCCACTGTAAAAGATTTTTCAGGGAAATATCAAAACTATACAGAAATCTTTTAATAGAATGTATAATCACACAAAGTCCCATTAAACGTTTTAATTTTCAGCATTTAAAACATGAATCCAGTTCATGTTATAACATGAATCCACTGAGAACTCATGTTTGAGCCACTTCATTTATCTGCTCTTGCATTAGCGCCTTCTCTACCAGTATTACCCAGATGCATGTATATTGTTCTCCACAGCTGCTTCATTTAGAGATAACTATGACATTGTCCTGTTTTTTTCAGTTTAGAGACCTTGTCTTACAGGATATGCATTTTATGAAAAAAGCTGTTTTTCTCTGCAGTTTTAGCCTACATGTATATACAATATGCCATTATTACTGAGGGGAAAAAATCCATCCAAAAATAACAAAATCAGTTTCCTACAGCTACAAAGCAATGAGTTCAGATTGTCTGTACAGTGTGTCTAGTTATTTTTTTAATCACAGGGCATGTATAAAATATAAATATATAAATACAATTTTGTATCAAAAGTTTTGTAGTTTATGGCAAAACCTGGTTCTGTGATAAGCTAAGTACAGTCCCTGTAAAGGAATGTTTGTGGCTCATGTAAATGTGTGGATGCATAAAAATAATTTAGTTTTTTTGATATATTTGTGATATTTACCTGCCTTGAACACTGCAATCTCATCCCATGGGAAATCAATGGGAATGTTTGTTGTGATTGTCTTCAGTTACATTTTAAAGTTATTTCTTGTAATTTATTTTCTGGTACATTAAAATCAAATATGTATATATGAAATTAAACTCATGATTTTATTTAAACACGTTAATGTAATTCACTGCATTACCTACTGTTGTTTAGAATGTTAAGCAAACTTATAATGTTCTTATAAGTTCTTGTCATTAAGACAAGAGTACATCTTAACAGCTACCAACAAGAATTAAGTGAGGTTAGGTTGCTCCTTCATTTCTTCTGTGTTTTGTTTTGCTTTCCATTCACTCACTATAAGAAACTAATAGTCAAGGGTAGTGGTTCTCAACCTTTTCTTCACCACAGACCCCCTTTAAATACCTTTTGTGACCATGGACTATGGCTACAGACAACCAAGACTTAATTCAAGATTTAAATCATTTCTTCAAGCCTTTGTGGATCCCGTGATGACATCACAGGCCCGCCGGAGGTCTGCGGGGCAAGGTTGAGAACCACTGTCTGGGAGATTAGGAAGGGGAAGCTTTAGTTTTTATACATTAGATGCCCCCTTTGAAGACTGTTTCCTGCTTCCAGATCTCTGAAGTTTAAATTTGAGTATGTCATTTTCTCGTGTTTTAATTCAATCTAATTAGGTACTTTCTATCCAGCTTTAAACCATCAGATTCTAGGTGGTGCACAAAAAAACAAGTGATAACTACAGTACTCCAAAAAGCCACAGTACCCATGTAGATAAAACTACAAATACAGATAAAATGACTGAAGACACTCATGCCTGGAAGCGGAGTTTCAGCAACTGGTCTTTTCTTGTTTCGTTTGAAACATTTTGCTGCTTATCTAAGTAGCTTCTTTAGTTTGATCCAACTTCCAGACAAGTCTATCTGGATGACTGAGAACCTTCAACATGATGGCGCACATGCACTCCACGTGGAAGCTAAAACATATGAATAGTTGCAGGAGATGGATATGCAGGACTAGGGGTGGCATGATAGTGTTACAGTATTTGAGAGGCTGCTATAAAGAAGAAGTCAACCTATCTCCCAAAGCATGTGAAGGCAGGACAAGAAGCAATGAATGGAAACTAATCAAGGAAAGAACCAACCTAGCACTAAGGAGAAATTTCCTGATAAGAAGAATCAAGAAGAATTAATCAGTGGAATGACTCGCCTTCAGAAGTTGTTTGTGCTCCATCACTGGAGGCTTTTAAAAAAAGACTGGACAGCCATTTGTCTAGAGTGGTGTAGGATCTCCTTGAGCAGGAGGTTGGACTAGAAGGACTCCAAAGTCTCTTCCAACTCTGTTATTCAATACAAATACAGACCATCATATCCAACCACTTACATAGCAAGGTTTCTAGTTAGTATGCTTTCCCCAGCCTTGAAGTCACAACTGCTGAAACATCTGATAATCTGGTGGTCAAGTCTCCAAAATGGCATGCACACATCCATTTCTGATCAGGTTTTGATTACATATTAATTGCACATGTTCCTCAATGACTTGACCCATATATACCTTTCAGTCCTTGTAATGGTTATTTCTTGTGCCCCCCAAAAATATGATTTCCCCTTTCCCCCAAGTGTCTTGAAAAACCTCAGTTCAATATAATGCAAAGTTCACATACTGTACCACAAATCAAGGGGGAAATGTAATAAAAACTTTATTCCAATACAGGTGGCTGAATTCAATTGGCAAAGTTGAATAAATGATGTGCTGCCTTAAAAAGTTGCTCGGGAGCTAAATTAGGTATGTTTGTTTATTCCGTTTGCTATCAACATCGCTGAATATTATCTGGTGTCCTATTACCTATCCCAAAGGTAGGACACTTGTGCTTTGTCAGTGTGTTCTGTCCAAACATTAAGGGTGGGAGTGGGAAATATTTTTAGATGACTCCTGATTTCATATAACTGCAGACCCAAATGGTTCATTGCTAGAGAACAAAAGATCACTTGTTGACAGAAATGTGAGGAAGATTCCTGCTTGCTTCTAGAATAGGGGGCTGAATATAACCACTTTTGTTGCCACTATCAAAAATAATTCCATTTTATTTTTCTATTGTAATATATGTTGCTTTTCTGTAAGAAGGGTAATAATGACTGTGGCCATGTAAGAGCGGCATGTATAGGTGCAATCCTCAGGGCTCAAAATTGCCCACCATGTATTAAAAATTCAGAGTAGGGAGACGCATTATGCTATAAATGCATTTCCCTATTCAGGACTAGCTTGAAAAGTTCCATCAGAAATTTTGATAATTTGGCAGCTATTGGTTATGTGTTATCAAGCTATTTACTGATTCTACTGATCATATAAAAACGTTTTTATTGTCTTTTAACTAGATAAAACAATTTAAAGTTAAGGCTGTTTTGGGATCAAATTGGATTGGAAATCCTTAGTCCTACATTGGTAGGAGTAACCAATAATTTTAAAATTACTACAAAATCAAAATTTTGCATTATAGTGTGCAAAAATAAGTATGCTGGTTAGAGTTCAAGAGATACTAAGAGTATTTTTCAAAAAAAAAATAGCTTGAATTTAAAGTTTCTGGATGATCTGTATTATTATGATCATCTGTACTATTCAAATGCACATTGGTATGCTTGTATATTTAAAAGATAGAGAAGCAGGGTAATATTCTCCTGGATCTTGACTGGCAGTCTAGAAAACCAACTTACCAAGTAATATGTAAATAAACATTTGTTAAAATAGTTGTCCATCTTTAGTAATCTGCTTTAAGTTTGTTTTCTATATTTAAAATGAAAAATCTGAAAATTGAAACCTTTTAAAACATTTACAATGGTTTATTTTGTATTAAACCCTTTTTGACCAAACTGCTGCTATAATATTTTTGATGTTACACTCTAATTCATATGGTAAAGAAGAACTTATATATAAACTTTAATTAGCACTTAATTTTGACTGTTTAAGAATCTGAAAGATATTTAAAAAAACAAATCCCTTGACTTTGCTAATTAAAGGAATAGAGGAAGAAAAGAAAGCAATTAGCTTTAACTATCAAAATTTAATGAATGGACAATTTATACGAAAACATAATTGTTTTAATCAGGAAAAAAGCAGAAAACAGGATGACAATGAACTTATTTACAGAAATGCTTCTTTACAATCTCCATCAGGAAAAATCCAATTCCTAGGTTTCTGCAATTACACAATGAAAGTAAATAAAAACCACTAAGCGCTTTGCACTGCTTCCAATATTACTTTTCACCAATCCTGATTAGCAGATGACTAACCATTTTAAAGTTACACTATTATGGTTTTCAAATAGGATCAGTAACAAGAAGAGTTCCAAGCAGCTCTTGTGCACTGTTAAAATAATGTATCACAGGTAAGAGGACCTTCTCTCTTCTGTCTAGTTTCTTCAAATAAGATCAGCAACTAGATAAAGAAAGAAACAGAACAGTGGTGTGAAAATAATGAAAAGATGGCAGATCTTATGCAAATTCTCACTCCAATACAGAGAAAGCTACTAAATAAATCAACTAATCGATCACATGGCAGGCAGCATTTGAGAAACAGCTCACAAATTCTACAAATTCAAGACTTTACATTGACTAACTGAAAAGACCAAAGTTGATTCAGAAACTGTGGATCTATTTAGTTTGTTGGGTTCAAATTAAGCAAACTCTGCCAGCCAGCATTAATATTGTTAACTTGCATGGTTTAAAAGTGTAACATGCTTTGTGAACAAGCCAACTGTTTGCTAAGTTATTAAAGCATGAGAGTGCAATATGTGCAGCTAGTCATAATTCATACTTAAGTGAAATATAACTACAAAAAATCTTATTAAAGAAACTGGCTATTCTTTTTGTGGATTTAAGTACATTCAGAGTCAAAAGGAAGAATTCCTTTCAGTAGAAGAAATTTGGCCTTGCTTTATTCTCCTGAGTAAGCAGGATAATCAGTTGTTTTTGTTAGGGTTTGGGTTGTTTATGTTTATTCCTAATTTGGTGCCTAACATTGCTGATGCACTAAAGGCATAGCTGCTGTGGTTCACAGGCAGAAACATCTAAAAAATGGGTAAAAAAGCCCAAAAGGCAGCATTTAATCCTTTTAAATGTATCCTGTTCTGCATGTAACATTTTTCCTCACCAATGAATTGATCATTATAATGTCTATGTCTTGTTCCAGTTTTTGACAACACTGTGACGTAAAAGGATTAATTATATAATTTTTATGCTTTTTACATGTTCACTGTTTTGTTAATTTTTCCAATACTTTCGAAAAACAAAAGAAAAAATGGGGGGGGGGAAGCAAAAAAGAATCTCAATTTTTCTAATATGCTGTGATTAACCATCTTTTATAAGAAATTAGGACACTTACCGTTCATTGGCATTTCATCAATCTGGGTAGAATAGTATTGCTCAATGTCTCGCAGGATACGAATATCATCATTCTTTACAAAGTTGATTGCAACACCTTTGCGACCATAGCGGCCTGATCTACCAATCCTGGTGGGAAATTCAAAACCAATTAACATATGAGAAGCCACAGTGTAGCAACTCACATTCAGTGCAGAATTCGTCCGTGCCCTTTATTGCCCATGGCAGAACCAACTACAGCAAAGATTTTTTGTGTCAAGAGCCTGGGCAACTGCTTACCTTATATAATTAAAGGCAGAAGCATCTTTCGTTTTAACTGAGAGGACTGCTAGAAAAAGCATTTCCCCCCATCAATTGTTCTTCAGATAATTTTATTACTCAAGCATTTAATGTTTTATGAATACATTTTAGAAAAATGATTTAAAAAAACGTAAGAATTTTTTCTCTTGAAATATACATGTATGCCTACCTGTGTATATACAACTCTCTGTTGTTCGGCAAATCATAATTAATGATCAGGGACACTTGAGGAACATCCAGACCTCTAGCCCAAACATCTGTAGAAATTAGAACTCGGCTGTAAAAAGAAAAGGCAAGTATTGAATTAAAGCAAGAACTCTTTAGAATTTGAGAAGTAGTTAAAACCCTTTTATTTTTATCTGTGTTAGCACAACTTAAAACACAAAGACAAATTTACCTACTCACAAAAGTGATACAGTGGATTGTACAATATCTACTAATACCAGAAATGGCACTTGAATAAAATCCTAGATACCACT